AAGATTGATATTATTTTCCGAATATCAAAGTGGGATAAATTCACTGAGAATATTTTTCATTCCACGATGAATAATACGTAGACAAGTCTCGAGATCTCGACTTCCATGGAAAGTTAAATGAAATCTGCATATTCTTGTACGTATTAGACATGTCAAATTTTGTATCATCTTGAATAAACTAAAGGAAAAGATTCTCAAGATTATTTTTTATGAATTTGTTAATAAAGTTGTATGTTTAAATATGTTTTCAGTTCTGAGCCAACTATAGCAGACAAATGTTATTATATTTACTTCAGATTTAATCCTTTCAGAAGTACATGATACAAAATCTAAATTAAAAACCATCTCCATGATCTATTAGATTAAAGATCGAGTACTTATTGACAAATGAAAATTGTGTTTATTATTATACAAAATATGCCAGTATTTTCACAGATTTTTTAATACTCTAGTTTACACCTATCTTTTCTGCATGAGAATGATTGTTCTCCATAGGGTTATTTAATGAAATATTTCAATGAATTCCCTAGAATCAAATTGGAAACACTACGAAGGATACGGGCTAATTAAGGTGGATGGCATACTGCAAAAAGAGATGAATCTACAATAACAATTTTAAAAATCGTAAGATACCCGGCCAAATGATGTGTTGACCTGTTCCGGTTGAATGTACTCTGAAGTATGATAAAATTCAATCAAAGTTGATTCTCCTTTGGAAGAGGAAATAGTATATTTCACGCCTAGGACCGAAAAAGGGAATCCGATGAATGCGACTTTATAGTCCGAGTCGGAGACGAGGATTATAACGCACATGAGTCAGAATCACTTTTTTCGCCGTGGCTATGATGCTAGTTTATGTCATTGTGACCGAAAACGCGTTTTTATCCGAGCGAAGCGAGGTTAGAATATATTCGAGATAATTCGAGATAACGTTAAAATAGGCTTTTAAATAATATATATGTATTATCTAATATCAAGTATACAATATATATATAATACGTCAAAGGGGAAGGCGGAAGAATAGATTTAGGTCAGACGAAAAACCCTGGTTACGGATACGGATTGCTCTAGGGTGGATGCCCACTTTGTAAATCCACTAATTACTTTCTATTAGACTGGAAATCAATGCATATTGGCTATGTGATAAAAAAACAGTATTTATATTTATATAGGGAATATAATGTGATATAGACTGATACCCATGTAAGAATTTCCAAGCCTGCAGACTTGGCTAATGTATTGGCCAGCATCTGCTGACCAACACTCGGTTTTCGAATGCTTGGCTAGTACACTGGCCAGCTTCGTTCGCCGATACTCGATTGGTCGATATTCCGCCAATATGTTGGCCCAAATCGATCCAACAAAGTTCGGTTTGTCCATCATTGGCAATTCATGAGCCCCACGGAGTTTCCCCAATATCCATCACTTAAAATAATTATTGAGTATAATCACATTATAATTGACATTAATCAATGAAATCTGTAGAAATTTCAGCGGAATCAGCATTCATTGAAGCCAAGTGAATAATAAATGAAAAATTCGGAAAAGGAGGCGTTCGCGATAAAAGTAATAACTGCCGTTATCATTGCAATTATTTTTTAATTAGATAAATTACAGAAATACTCAGTAATCGATTGATAATTAATTTTCTATCAATTGATCAAAGAAGGACAGAAATGCGCAAAAATAACTGACTCAAATTTATGAAGTCGTTTTTATGCTTTTACTACAAGAGTTCCGTATTAGGTTAGTGGTTAGGGCGTTGGACTAGTGTACGAAAGGTCGTAGGTTCGAGTCTTGTGAGGTACAAAATTGGAGTTCGTCGATTAGGTTTTTTCAGGGTCGACATCGTTGCCGCCGTGATCAAGGATGACTAATAAATCATAAAAACGAGAAAAATTTATTTTTTCACTTTTTATTAATTAATTGAATGAGTGCCTCGGTACCCAATCATATGCCGAGCATTTACAGTCTAGTTCGTTGTTCTTTTTTATTACTAGCTTCTTTCAATTACCGTCAAAAGATTGATAATAGGATAATTTTCAATAAAAAATCAAAGTTATTAATATTTTCGGGTAAAATTAATAAGATTCGGCTGTTAATCGGCTGCCATCATTGGGCCAATGAAGGCACCGATAATCGGGCCGGAGTTATCATCAGCTTCGGAAATATTGGCACCGAGCTTGGCCCGATCCTCAGGCCAATCCGGCCATCCTGCATGGGTATTCTTTTTGAGTGTGTGCCATGCGCTCATGGCTTTTCCTTCCCTAATAGTGTGAAGCAAGGACCCTATGAAATGAACGCTCCCTGTTGCAATGTAAATTTTTATTGTGCCTAATAGCGTCGAGGCACAAGTGGCAATCTCGGGTGCATGCGGGCGTAGCGCATATAAACCGACAGTGATCGACGAGTCTTTTCAAGTATTCGGTTCGGAGAAGTTTAAAAAAAATATTGATGCGAAAATTTCGTAACATTTCAACAATAATGAATACTTTTTTCCTCCTTTTCGCATACATCGGAGAACATTGAAACGGGATTGCGCACTTTTCGTTGATATAGTATCCAGTGAAATAGCACGTCCTGCAATTGTGAAGGCGATAATGACCCGTGGAGGACGAACTATTGTAATGATTTCTCCCGTTAAACGTTTTCAGCTCGTTTAATACAATGCCTCAATTTTTGATCCCCCTTGATACAGTCGTTCTCATTGCATACCAAGGCGTATCTTCAATCGATTACGGTTATATTGGCACTGATGTACGATGGATGACCGGTTAAGAGAGGGAGATAAATAACGAGCGGAAACAAATGATTTCACAACGAGATAACTTGGCACCTTGCCTAAATGATAGGATAGATATTGTACGGAATCCAGTGTGTGACACCGTGATTGACGTTATCACAATAATTGTAAATTGTTTCGGTTATGCTGTCACTGATGCGCAGTTTTTGCTCTCCATTGATCGTTTTGGCATGTTTCAGTTTGGTCTTTTCAACGTTGAAAAGAAATACTCTCACTAGTTGTGCTTACAGTGTGACATTGAAAAACTCTCCTCACTGAACGTACAAAGATGTATCCTGCAACTTTTAACTCCAGAGGTGCCCTCATGCCGAATCATTTTAATACAGCGGTCGCTATGCGATACATGAAAGGATGATCAAATAACTCTGATATTCGATATAATATTCTCTTTTATTCGTTTTGATTCGGACAATATGGTATGCAGAATTGGAATAAAAATGCAAGGGATGGAGAAAAAAATAACACAGTTCAGGCTTTTAAATGTATCGAGATCGGTCCGGGATACAACTGTCTACTATCTCTGGCAATGGCCCAAACAATTTCCCTGATATTTATTCATCCTCTTTCATATATGTATCTTTTTTATATTTTTCCAACTTTTTTCCTGCACATTGAACTTCCATTGATTTTTTTTCCATTTGCCCTCATATTAACATAATATCTATTGCGGTTATTAAATTACATTACATCTATTATTCTGTAATTTCTCCCATTCCTGCATTTGTAAATTAGCTGACAAAATATCAACATTCTGTATAATTATGAAGTTCTGATAAATTTCATGTGGGTAACAGTGCATAGGTTGGATTGGACGCCTGGATATATCAATGTTCTACTTCACGTGCAATGAACGCATTCATAATATCACAATTATGACGATTAAAATCTTTTGTTGCAGATAATTCACACTGGCATGATATAAATTCTGCATGTCTACTGTGGAAACCAGTCGTGCTTTTGTTCAGAATTTCTGATAAGGCCGTTACCATCAATAAACACATTTTATACTCAGCGCTGCGTATTATATCATAGAAAAGTAAAACATGTATAAACATAATATAAATTCGCTGTTGTATATAATATAAATACGATTCAAGTTATGAATATCGGAGAATTGCGGGTCACGTTGTAAAAAGGGTTTCATCAATACAATGCAGAATCATAATAAAGTGATATGTTCCTATTGTAATTCACATCTTCCCCAGTTTGAATTAAAGAATTACTTTTTACACTTAAAATTTTGAAAAACTTTGGAAACTAAACTATTTTCGTGGTGAAAACATTGTAGATTGATTAGTTTGCCAAAAAGAGGAAATTTAATTAATCACAAGTTACATGGAAACCATCGATTCCGTGAAAAAAATTCCAATCGTAAAGATTTCCTCCACAATAATCAAAGAGCAATTTCTCATCGCATCCGCATCATCATTTAAAAAAGTTCATGGAAAGTCATGTAGAATTCCAAGGAGCCATCAAACCAGCGATAACCCACCGCATAGTCTGAATAAAAAATCTCAGTACAATTTGATAAATCATAAGCTAAAACTGAACTGTATCCCGTGGCGTATAGCACAGTCAGAAGCTCGTGGAGTAAGGAATAGTTGGCTTATCACACGTTTCCGACAAATGAGGGTCATTCAAAACAACTTGGCTCCCACAAATATATGGTCGTCCACTATCTGACTGTCCCCCTTCAAAAACTAAATGCCCACCATAAATTTTTTTCGCCCCTCAGCCAGGCAGAAAATAACATCAAGTATGTTCCGAGTGAATTAAAAAAAAAAGGAAATTTCAGCCCCCATAAACACATGTAAACAACGAGTGCAATCATACACTCTAACATCGCCAGCACCTAAGATTGTTTTAGCACGACATCTGCACAGTGTCTAAAGAGTCATTGCAAACGCTTTGTTAAATGTAAGTCTGGGAATATTCCCATTAACTCACATATATACACTGTTCCATTGTTATGCAATGGCTTATCACGAGTGCGATTAGCGGAGCTCTCTCATCCCGTTTGTACTATGGAATCACGAGTGTGCAGCAAAGTACCACCGGAGCGGCATATAGTCGTCTTCTGCAATTAGGGAAGACGGAATAATCGTTACTTATACACTTACTATGTGCAATTGTTATGCGTCTTCAAGTCAGTGCACCAATTTCTCGATCAATTGTTGGAATGCCGAGATGGAAATGAATTCTTTGTAATTTCTTTTTATTTTTTTATTAAGAGCAATATTGAGATGTTTTCCAGCAAAAAAGAAAGTAAAAGCGTTTCATATTGCCATTATCGTGGTTGAATTTACACAGCGAGGAATAAATTCATGCAAAATATGTCTATGCGATAATAATGAGAATTACACAAGTCACGCGAAATTTCATCTCGGGCAGAATGAGCTTCGGGCTGCTCCTCCTCGTGCCTTCTCAGCATCGGAATAAGTCTATGGAGTGATGTACACGATGAAAGAGTTGGAGGAGAGTAGTTGAGAGACTTTAAAGTGGATGAGTTGAATTGGTCAGTGCGATCATTTGCCATAACCACCACCCGGAGGTAAGTATTGATTGCTACCACTGGCGCCTACACCGACACCGCCACCACCTCCAAAGATGCCGTTGCCCTTTGGACTACCAACTCCCAGTCCACCTATTCCCGCTCCTCCAGCTCCTCCAGCTCCTCCAGCTCCTCCAGCTACTCCGTATCCACCCCTACCTGTCACCCACAATAAAATCGCATTTATATTTATGATGCCATGTCTTTCCTCACGTGATCCTCCACTACGTCCCATTTTCTTACTTTCTTGTAAATGAAAACGGACACACAAGACATCTCGGGTTCGATTAGAGTTCACGTGAGGATAAAGTCAGTCTGAGATTACTCTTTATTTTTCTTCTTCACTTTTTCTTGGATTTCTCCTCTTGATGGAGAATAGAATAGGAGCACAGAAGTGCTTATTTTAGAACATGCCTTTTGACATATCACAAAGGTGAAGTCGCACGAAGGCAAACAAATGAAAAATTCACGAAAAATTTACGAAAAAATATTAAAGTTTCCTCAAATTCGATAAACAAAGTATATTTGACCGCCATTTTTCATCACTTTCATAAGTAGAACATTCGAGGGTCAAATGCCATCTGTCGAGTTAAATGTTTGGCATTGTATTCAAGTATATGTTGGATTTAGATGAAAATTATTATGTACAACGAAGCTATCGTTTTTTTCTAAAAAATACAACAACTTCGTGCAGAAAAATCCAATAAAGTTCAGGGAAAAATTTGAGTTGAAGGAGTAATTGGAATTATGGAAATTGTTTTGTGGCGTGAGTTGAGAAATTTCGGTGAGATTTTACTTGTTCGGGTAAAGTTATGTGACAATTTTGTATTTTTTTCAGTGATGAACTTGAGAAATCACTGAACGTTTCAGATATATTTTCTTTCATTTTCATAAAACTGCCGTTAAATGATTCCTGCTTTTGGATTGGACAAGTTGTTTCACGATTTTTACTGCATATTTTTCTCCGTATTGGAATGTATGGCGCGAATCATGTGAAAGTATACGAATAATTTTAAAGCTTAAATGTTGTTGGGGACATTATTTTTTCGCGCGATCAGAAGAATTGCTTCGAGAGAATTTTTCGTTGTTACCGACTAATATGAATAGCGAACAATTACGTAAGCGTCGCTCAGAAACTGTGCAGCTCACATAAAATAACATCAAAGGCAAGCAACTTATTAGATACAATTTTGATACAATTTTGAGAGAATAATGGGTCAAAGGGAATTGACAGCAGAGTAATACAACCTGATAAATTAATTTCGCTGTTGAATGAAATTGAAGGGAGGTTGTAAAATATTTGTTATTTTGATTAATTATTTGTCCCAGCGTCAGTCAATAGAATTGCACCATTCGACGACCCGTGGTAGGACCAAAAGCATTTACTTACGGATAAATCTTTGATAGCTTTCTCGACTAATTGGCATATGATTAAAAAAATAGAGTCCAGTGAGAATAATCTCTCGTCATACTGACCAATTGAAAGTTGTTAGATTTTTTATTTTCCAATTCAGAGTTTTATCTAATGGTGGAATTCTATATCAGTTGACGTTTGAATACCACGCGAGTTTTAAATTTGGCATCCCCCTCGAAATTCGCTGCATGCCAATTCTATGCGGTTATTAAGGTTGTTCTACCCTGGTCAGAACGTATCCGAAAAATGAAGAGAATCGAGTGAAACTTTTTTAAAACATTATTTAAGGCATTTCAAAACCATGTGCAAAATTTCAAAAATTTCGTCAACAGAAAAACAATGAAAATAAATTGTAAAGTTGCTACTTATACACGGGGTCAAGTGGAGCATCGATAACTTCAACATTTTACCTATATTGCCGATTGATGGATAATGTAGAGAAAATGCTAAAGTTATCGATGCCTCATTTAACCTTACGCATAAATACCAATTTTACAATTTATTTTCATTGTTTTTCTGTTGACGAAATTTTTGAAATTTTGCACATGATTTTGAAATGCCTTAAATAATGTTTTAAAAAAGTTTCACTCGATTCTCTTCATTTTTCGGATACGTTCTGGCCAGGGTAGAACATCCTTAACCGTTAAATCCGTTTTTGTTCTGCATCATGATGATTGGTACACTGCGTAATTTTAATAATTTTTTAGTAAAGTTGCCAGGGGAGAGATTTTGCGCGTTTTTCTCGACTTAAAACTTATTTTTTTGCTCCCGTTAGGAGGCGTTTTGCGGCGTTTATCAGATGCCTTTTAGAATACTGAGAAGTTAGGTATGTGGAGGTTAAGTAAATAATTGTATAACCTAATATTATTCGATTGGCCAAATTATTGGTAAACTACTCGACCTCTGAGTATATTACGAATATCTCCTATCCACCGATAATTTATTACTCAATCTATCGTCAATCGTTTGCAACATTTTGATAGAAAATTTAATTTGAATTATCACCGCGCCCGTGTTCATAAAACCTGCACACAACGCCTGTATTTCACGCCCCCTAACGGGAGCAAAAAAATAAGTTTTAAGTCGGGAAAAACGCGCAAAATCTCTCCCCAGATCTCCTCTAATTAATATCTCAATCTGCTACCCTTTAAAGATTTTCCTCTTATAATTTTTTTTTCGTAAGCATTGGAGTGATTTCGGCAACACAATTTGAAACCCAAATTTAGAAATATTGAACAATAACAAAATAGAATAAAAAAAAAAATGATTACGTTCGATAGATAATACATGCTGGCTTCAATCTGCAATGTTTTTCTCAGATGGCGCAATTTAAGGAGCCGGAGCTCGAAATTAGGTAAATAAATTTTCCATTTGAAAAAAGAAAGCAAGTGGGTCGTTAAGTTATGGTAGTAAAGTTAAAGAATACTGCATGGAACCTTGATAAGGAGTGAATCCAAAGCCTGGTTGATAAGAACCCTGCGGTCCACTGAATTGATAACCACCGGGTCTGGGATACTGTGCTTGCCCCTCGTATTGAACATCCGCGTTGTATCCATTCACATCGTCTGCTGTATATTTTACGATTTGAGTCCTAGAGTCCGGTAGAAGTACTCGATATTCGCCCCTCACGACATTTCCGTCGCTGGTCTCCTGCTGACCATAGTCGTTACCACTCGGGGGATCTAGCACCTCGTATTGAAAACTGTACGGTTGCGGCTGCCATACAGACACATAAAGGGATATAAAGGGAATGCATGTGCGTTAAACAAAATAAAATGACAGGGACAGGGAGGTGAAACAGACGAAAAATACACAAAGGAAAAGATGTAGAATAAACGATTTTGTGTGTTGCGATTTTATGGTTATTTTCGTTGTTGCTCCTGGAAAGCAGCCCTTGGCGATTGTCAGCCTGTCGAGGAAACAATACTCCCAACAGAGAGAGACTCTTGGTTCATCCTCGCATTTATTCACAAAGCTACTCCGAGGGGAGAGGTTTACCAGCGACATCCCAGTGATAATGTGTGATAATATGTTCTCTAGCGTGGCACGATTTGTGAATCATCAAATTATTACAGTTCACCGGGTGCGCTGCGGATGCTTGGCCGAGCACATCGTTAATATTGCTTTATCAGAACATATATTTTTTTTTCTATTGTTTAAAATTCATCGCGATGTAAAATCGTTGAAAAAAATATTGGGAATGAACGGCTGGTTTGAAAAGTCATTTTCATAGCTAGAGGGCTATCCGCTTGGCAATGAATTGAATAATATGTATAATAATAACTACATGAATGGTGGTGAAATAAAACTCACTGGTCCGTTGTCCCCATTGTAGCCATTGCGATAAGCTCCAGGGATTCCCTCGTAGCCTGCAGGTGCAACGCCACCTGGAAAAGCTGTGGTGTATCCGCCGGGATATATACCGCTGGGCCTGCCGGTGTATCCCACCGGTCCTGGGAATCCACCAAAACCAGGAACTCCGTAAGAGCCACTTGGTCTTCCAAGAGAGTCAAATCCATTTCCACTTGGAAGAAATCTTCCGGATGCATCATAACCTATACGTCGCCCTGGCTCACCAAGAATTCCAACGCTTGGTCTATTGTACTGATACCCATTGCTTCCAGAATCCGGCAAAATCCCTCCCAATGCAGTCGTACAGTACAATATTGTCAGCACCACACCGTTCAACTAAAACAGGGACAATAAAACACAAATGGAGGAGTCGAGGAAATAAAGGGAAGAGCAACTTTATGGTTAATTTGAGGCAGAGATAGACTGTTTGTTGACCGTTATAAATTGTCTAGACGCAATAGAGAACTCGTTCTTTACAACCCCCATATATGAAAATGAAATAAGAAAGGGTAGTCACGCATTTCTCCAATTTCTCCAATTTCTCCAAAATAGAGAGAAGATACTCCTCTTTAGCATGATTGCAAGTGGTTCTTCCACGATCGGAATTCGTTCCACGGAGTGAATGACAAACGATCTTTGGCTATCTCCACCGGCAGTTTCAATAAATTTGCGCTCGAATTACTCGGGATAATGCTTTAAAATTGTTAATATTATCTCTTGACTTCGTTTTTATGCAAGGAGGGAAACCGTCAATGATAATAATTCACGTTGCTGGTTGCAGATCGATATTCATTGAATTAATAATCAATGGCTCGAGTACTCACCTGATGAATACTCATATCGATGAGCTGTTTCAGAGAGTCCGAGTAAACTGATGAAGATGATCCTCTCGAATCCTTATATACTCCATTCCCAGTATTTTTCCTTGTTACAGATTAAACCTGGTTTGGCCGTTGTTACAACAGTATGAGTATAACATTACGAAGAGTTTAACCCAGTGTTGGAGTTGGAGCTTGAGGGATGGGCTAAATACGATACAATAATCTTCCCTTCACTTGTCGGTCCATCTAACTCCTCTTCTGGATGATCCTTGCCGATTTTCGACGTAGAAAATGCCTCTTCACTGGTGCATGGTGGCCGGGTACCATTTCGTATATGCATTTTAATTGATTGAGCGTGCGTGGTGTTCTTCCAGCATAGACTATCCTCCACGTTTTAATATTTCATGCGCACCTATCACGCGAATTCGAGTGCCTCTCGGCCAGCAACGTCCATCACGAAGTAACTTGGATATTGGATTATAATATTCGTAGTATGACGAGGTATAACCCATTGAATTCTTTCGGAATATCAAACACATTAGGTACAATTTTCTGTAAGCTACTACTCATGAGTAGAGTTATGATTTAGGAAAGTATTGATTTTTCATCGAAATTTGATTAAGAAAACCGAATCGGCAGTTGATCATGAATGATTGAGATACACTGAATCTAGTGTTTTATTTGAACGTATCTGAAAATTTAAATTAATTTGAAATTGACATCTCTCAAATGTGATAGTGGAATATATCGACAGGAGATTAAATAAAGTGCAACCAACAGTTAATTAATTCCCATATTTATCATTGAAGACATTATGCGGCCACCCCCAGATTGCTCCTGAATTCACCAATTAATTTGTATTGGGTAAATTGGGAAATAAAAAATACCGAATAGATATTATCAAAGTGGAGGCTCACCGAATGTTGATTTTTTTGGCAACTCTCGTGAATAAATGGTAGAATTTATTGGCAATCATAAAAATGGATAATTTGATAATTTATGCAGACAAGAAAAAAACTGGATTCGCAATATTGAATTCAGCTTCGATGGTAATAATCACATTATGTAGAACACTTGATTGCCTCAGTAGAATGGCTCAGCTATAGTTTCAAGCAGAAGAATTCCACTCCCACTTTTTTCTTTTCTGCGATCGCTTCCCTTCATATACAGGGTGTCCCAGAAGTACGTGCCGATAATTAACCGGCATGTACAGGGGGTGAGTCCGACCCAAAAAGTCCTTTACCACTTTTGGATCGGAAGCACCCCTCCGGAGATACTGGGGTAAACAGGACAGCCAATGACGCTGCCGCGTTAAGCGGCAGTACGTCGGTGTGGCTGTCGCGCTCGAGTGTGAGTGATTCCCCTTCGAGCCAGAAGGCGGCGGGATTCCACATTCACCCGTGAGCGTGAGAGAGAAGTCATGGTATCCTCTCTCACTCTCTCGCATCACTCCGCGGCAATGTTCTTGCAGGTATCTTTTAAACAATTGGGTTTTTGGGATTTTTTCATTGATTATTATTTGTTGCAAATTGAATTTGCAACAAAAAACATCTGATGGAAAAATGCCGTACGGCCCATCGTTTTTTTTATAACATTTAAAAAGTATGAAACAGTTTGTTGCTGATATTGATTAAACAATTGGGTTTAGGTGATTTTTCCATGAGGTTATTTTGTTGCAAATTCAATTTGCAACAAATAATCATCAATGGAAAAATCCCAAAAACCCGATTGTTTAAAAGATAACAGGAAAAACAGTCGCGCCACTGAGAATTTTTGGTAAAATCGCGGGCAATCCCCTTGCCATTTTTCGATTAATTAATTAATTATTAATTATCTCATCAACCGAGACTTTGACAAAATTTTATAAGGAGAACTTTTTTTTGTTAAATCTCATTAACAACAAAAAAGATTCTCCGATAAATTTTGCTAAATCTCATGGTTGATGAGATAATTAATAATTAAACAATTATCTCTGAAATGAACGGAGCGATCGCGGTGATTTTCAGATTTTTCGTTAAAAACAGCCTGTTGACCAATTATCTAATAAACAATGGGCTTTCGGAGATTTTTCCATTGATTATTTTTTGTTGCAAATCGAATTTGCAACAAAAAACATCTGATGGAAAAATGCCGTACGGCCCATCGTTTTTTTTATAACATTTAAAAAGTATGAAACAGTTTGTTGCTGATATTGATTAAACAATTGGGTTTAGGTGATTTTTCCATGAGGTTATTTTGTTGCAAATTCAATTTGCAACAAATAATCATCAATGGAAAAATCCCAAAAACCCAATTGTTTAAAAGATACCTGCAAGAACATTGCCGCGGAGTGATGCGAGAGAGTGAGAGAGGATACCATGACTTCTCTCTCACGCTCACGGGTGAATGTGGAATCCCGCCGCCTTCTGGCTCGAAGGGGAATCACTCACACTCGAGCGCGACAGCCACACCGACGTACTGCCGCTTAACGCGGCAGCGTCATTGGCTGTCCTGTTTACCCCAGTATCTCCGGAGGGGTGCTTCCGATCCAAAAGTGGTAAAGGACTTTTTGGGTCGGACTCACCCCCTGTACATGCCGGTTAATTATCGGCACGTACTTCTGGGACACCCTGTAGATATAGATGTTCATTGGTATTTGACTGGGAATTTTGAATGCACCATAAGGCAGTGCTCATCGCATTAACGTATATTCCATCACATTATAATAGCATGTATCACCACTTCTAGGGTATAATTCAACTTGTGTGTACCAAGGATTGCAAAATTCATCACAAAAGCACATGGGAGCTCACAAAGTATGAAATAGCAATCATGCAAGCACTCAGTCCTCTGAAATTCTGTGGTGGCTTAGAAAATATTAAAGCGAGCCTGGATGGGTAAACAGGATATACCATGGAATTCGTTTTTAATGATCCATTAGATTTTTTGTTACATTCGTTGCTTAAAAAATCACATTTCTCTAACTTCGTTATTTTCAGATGATTTTGGTGGAAATTATAATAGCCATTATGCTGTGTTGAAGGATGATTATTTATCATCTTGCTTATTGTGTATTTCTAGCAAGAGAGTTTTCCATTACTAATGATAAAGGACAATCTGTCTTCTGTCACACATTATTAATCTGTAATATTATGCCATTAAAAAATCACTCCTGAAATTTTATAGGAACACTTTAGAATGCTTAAGTACAACACATTCATATGAAATTTCCTGGTTATTATTACTGATAAGTCAATCAGACTCTGAACTTTTCAGCCATTACAAATTTTGAAAAATCTTGTCTTGAAGTAAATTCAGATAAATGACATAATGTATATGCTCCATGAGAAATTTTGGGTATAGGACAGTGGAAATGAGTATAAATCGTGACCAATGAATTAACAGTGAGGAATGAGTGTGACAGATTTTAGGGCTCAATTTTCGATTCGATTCCATATAAATATCCATTTCTATTTTACATAAAATAGGAAACGCCAGTTTATAAAGCGTCCCTGTTACACCCGCCTATGTTTCCATTTCACTTTTCACGATGATTCTGCCAATATTTTCAGACGGATCAATCGAGTGAGCCTGCTTGCTTTTGAATCCAATAAATCGTATTGAAACTTATCGGAATATTTGGTGCATACAATTCTACTGCATTTATCCCTGATAAGCACTGCAATTATAATTTCAGGCTGGCATTATTTTAGCAATGAATCGACAGCTTAAATAATTCAAACCCAGGACCCCAGTTTCGAGTGGATAAATACTCCAAAATGTTCAGATTTGTAAATACATAAAAATGGACTCATCTTAAAATTTAAAAAAAAATTCGAATAAATTTTTGCAAAAAATGCGCCTCGAAAAAGTTTTGTGTAATGGTTTGCCCTGAAATTTTTTTGGAAAATGAATAAACATGAAAAAAAGTGTCAAATAACAGTTCTGTATGATGAAAAAAAATAGTTGAAGGAATACCAACGTTCTTAATATAATCCGGACAACTTCGAGTAAATGATCCTACAGTTTGTCGCGGGAGTAAATACTTACGGTAAACGTATGGTTTAGGTCGGCTAAAAAACAAAAATCATTGAAACGTTAATTTCTTTGAAAGAAAACCATTCTTATCCTCTCAATCGTCAGGAACAAGACGAAAGAAGAGAGAGAAACAACAAGGAGGGGAATACATCGATAAATAGTTCTCAGGTAAACTCTGTTGTCCCTGAAATTCCTTAAACTCCCCTTTCCCTCTGCTATCGCTGTTGACGCGACGAGTGAATGATATGTAATTCAATATTTTGAATAGCTACAGAAGGGTAGCGGCAAATAAGTCACTCGTGGTGTTCGTTCAGCGATGGTAGATGGTCAGGAGAGGTGAATTCAGAGTTTTAGTGAAGTGCTCAGGACTATTAGATAAACCCATCTTTCTGTGTGTCCATTGTCTTGTGTTGACATGTTTTGTTTTTGTTTTTGTTTTGATCAGATCCTTAATCGGGTGATGGAAACCCATCCGACCAAATAAAAAAACATCCAGAATGGTTTGGTGGAGCTGAACTAGACATTTACCATACTTACGTTCGGGCTCTCATAGTTAATAAACTCATCAAACCAATACTGAAGACTACATTTTTCTCCTTTCTTCACTTTTTCCCGTGATATTTTCATGGTATTACAGGGGCAGGAGCAGCCCTTTTTGAGATGGTCGTAATTCACTCCATATAATTGTGGATTCCGGTCTTAGTTATCACTGTACATTCATTGCGTGAAAAAGGGGTGTGGATTGTAGGTATATATGTGTGGCAAAGCAAGGACGTCACACCAGTGGATCCAAAGCTTCTCTTTCCATGCTGAAAGTACCTCTCCGTGTTAGGTGGTAGATTTTTCTCGTAAACTAGCATATCTATGATATGACAAGTATACGAGAGGATCGGTGTTACACCCTAACAAGTCGTTGAGTTCGTTTTTCCATTGTTATTTTTCGAGAGATATTTTTCACACAGATCGTAAGTGGTTCCAAATTGCCAACCAAACATGCCAATCCTTTAAATTCCAATGTAATAATGTGTTTATATCATTATATTCAATAGGCGTAAATTC